ATCCGTATGGCAATATCGCGTCCAGTTCAAGGGGAAGACATTCATCTGCCAAATTCTTTGACCTGAATATGGAGATGCCCTCGACGCAACAATCTGTATAATACCCATTTGACACGATGCCTTCAAGTTTTAGGGGGAAACATTCAATTGCGAGCTTCTTCAACCTCAATGTCGAGATACCTTCAAGTTCAAGGGGAAGACATGCAACTACCATCTTGTTCGACCTAAATATGGAGATTGTGGAAGAACCCTCATCTCCACCAGAAGAACCTCTTCGTAAGCCAGGTGCAGATGATACTGAGACTAGACTATTCGTTTAGCGAGAATCATCGCAGCTCAATATGGGCTCCGATTATGATAATGTAGATGAAGTTCCCATAAATACAGTACACACCGAACCTCCATCACACATGTATGAAGCTGACTATGGTATAATGTACGGGCCAGAATTTGAGGATATGCCTAATATCGGTGACTATAAATTTAACGCATCAGTCATTGATGGTGAGTTATATAAAGGATTGGAGTTTTCATGCAAAGAAGAAGCGATAATGACAATTAAGAATTACAACATTCATAATTCTGTTCAGTCCAGAGTCGACCCTTCCACCACCAAAAAGTATGTATACCACCGTATCAAAAAAGATAACAGATGTAATTGGATGGTTCGCGTATCGAAGAGGAAAAATATTATATGGGAAGTAACGATATACAACGGTCCTCACACATGCTATACTGGAGGGATCAACCAGGATCATCCCAACTTGGACTCTGACATTATCTGCCAAGCCATCATGCTCATGGTCATCATCAAGGCGATGGTTGTTTATGTCGATGAGGATTTCTTCGTATAACTTGTTCTGAATCCTCACTCTCATCATTATCATCATCATCACCACTATCATCATCATTATCATAACAGATACATTTTGTTGATGAGGGACAAATGACGATGTAGCACCTCCATAAAATAAGGACTCTTGAGGTGTATGACTGACTATCCTATTGGTCACAGAAAACTATGAAAATTACAAAAAGACTAACATTCATGAGTGCAAAAATTGTACATGAGGTTTATTTGAATGTAGTGAAGCTTCACCTGCCAAATAACCAGTATATGAACCCCAAGTTGGATATACAAGCATGAAAGTATAATATTCCCCAGAAGGGGTCATAAAACTCTACGGCGGTAGCAACATTTGGTATGGAAGCGGTGGCGTCTGACCTGGCTGTAGTGTCATATGAAATGGATGCGATGCCATCTAATATGGCTATAGAATATACAACGGTGTAGACAGTGGCTGCTGTGATGGTTCTGATGCTACAGCTAAGGACGATCAGGAAGTGCCTGATCTCCGTCCATGAGTCAGGAGATGATGATGCTGTGACAGTGGACGTCTTTACTGACGTCGATGAATGCTCCCGCCTCGTGCTTCCTCATGAGGTATAAACTGTTTCCCGTTCTTGTTGAACACTCATAATAATCAGCCGCAACCGAGTAATGATCCACATAAATAGGTTTTGTACGAGGAATGCGCCCACGTCGATCCTCCCATATCATTACCCACTCAATTGCTTCAGCAGCCAATCGACTTCTTTTTTGCCCCGTCTATCGATGATATGCAAATCGTCGAGATTCTTAGGTGCTTCCAGAATAGATTGTAGAAAACCAAATTGGTAGAGCACGCGATCAGTGGGATGCCACTCGATAATAACATAACATATCAGAGGGACCACCGCCATCTAGACATCTAATGGGCCTCTTAAGTGATGTGGGATGCAAATCCTCATATCTTCAGTAGAATAAGGAGCCTATTGAAACTAAAACAAATATATATAATTCTTATCAAAATAATATTCTAATTATTTAACAATAATTAAAATTAGATAATAATATTTAAATATATACCTCTATACCAGCCTTCTGATTAATGAGTAGTCTATTTTCTTCCAATTCATCAGGTAAATCCTGATGATCTTTTCTTGAACTTGACACCTATTCAATGAAATAATTTTTATTATATACGGAACAAAATTATTTATATACGAAATCAATATTGAAATTAACTCAATAATAACGGGAATACCAATGAGTTTTTCACCACTGGATATAAAAAGGGTATGCGATACAATGCCCAAGACTGAAGAAGAATGAGACATCCACCGAAAACATTTTTTTCGATAGTTAGTAGCTCGACACATTTCCCTATATAGAAATGTCAAAACTGCGGAGCCCTAACTGAGTGTGCCAGCATAATGAAAATCTGCGAGGTGACACAACCACATACAATGAACTTGGTTGCATGATTTGTTGGGCTTCAGGAGCCCTCCTATGAGCTATAAGTTGCAAGCCCGTACATACATTTTAACATGCTCCTTAGAGGCGTCGCCACTCAAATGTTTGAAAGTTGTATCCAACCAATTTAACGGAATTCGACCACCGTTGAAATTAGGCAGGACACCTCTAAGATACTCATCGCACAAGAAATACCATCCATCATGTGCCACCACAGAAATCACATCCTTATCTACCGGTAGTCCCAAATGCATGGAAACATTCTCCAGCGTAATTGTGCACTCTACACACTGAAGATGGAATGCGTGTGTCTCTGGTCTACACCGCTCAACCAATGCAGAAATAAGGTTGGATTCAAGGTTACAGTGCCTTTCATATTTTGCTATGTAGTCGAATCCAGCCTCGACTAAATACAACCATACACGAGTAGTTACCTCTAACTTAAGGTTACGAATGAATGAATCTAATATACGATCTCTCTCATAATTTAATAAATATTATAGAAATTAAAATATAAACTAATACTAAACAAATTAAATAAATAAAACATTAACAATAATTAAAATTACAATAGAATTTAAAATTATTACCGTATCAAAAAATGCATCGAGATATGATTCCTTTCTAAACATAGCAAACCACCTTCCATTTTATAATTGCAAAAATTTATAAAAAAGTTACTATAACAAAATTTAATAAAATAATAAATCAATATAATACAATAAAAATATTTTACATTCTTAATAGAAAGATTGATACTAGGAAGAATGAGAGATTTTGAGATTTAAGTGTGGTTTGGAGGTTGTGTTTGGTTGTATTTGAGGGAAGAGGGGAGGGGGTATTTATAGGAAGAGGGGGTAGACGGGTTTCCCATAAATGTGGGAGGTGGACGGTTGGGGTATTAAATGTAAGACGCGGATAATGATTCGCGCCTTACATACGAGTGTCAAAAATCCCTGAAAGGTGCGGATAGCGATCCACGCATGTCTTGACGTGGCGCCAACTCAGATAAGGCGTAGATGGCGATCCGCGCCTTTTATGACTTGGAGTCAGCTCAGATAGAATCGTCATTCGCGCCTTGTCAAAAAGAGTACTAGATCAATAATATTAGCATAAAGGGTGCCGTACATGTAATTATTACCCGTGATATTTTAGTAAAATCACGTTTTAATTATACGTTGAATTTTAAATTTTGGTCCATAGGTAAATACCCTCCTATCCAGATTCAGCTACGATTCTGAATCGATTAACATATGGATGACCATGTTGGAGACTTGGAAAGTCAAATTACTTTTTCAATTATAATCATGTGTGAGAAAATGCCCATAATTTGTTAAATGGATAATGATTTCTTAAATATTAAAAACAAAGTGGAAAAAGTATTGAGCATAAAGTTCTAATCAAAGTGATAGGGATCAATTTTTCTATTAATTATAAAACCTAAAATCTATAAAAATAGTTTATATATTAAAGATTAAGAAATTATGATTGCGTAGATGTGATTATAAATATAATATTTATAGAGGTTATGAGTTCGAGTATTAGCGACTGCAATGATGATTTGACGTTTATTGTCAAATGATAAAGAATATTGAGAACAAATATTATTTTGTAATCATCTTAGTTTAATAAAAAATATATTTAGAACTTGTCAAAAAAAAAAAAAAACCAGTCTAGTTAATGTCATTAAGGATTCTAAATTAATATTAAAGAATATATGATTCAACCGTGTAAGATTACAAATTAATGTTAATTGATTCAAGTAATTAAGTTTAGATTAAATTTATCGAATCTAAACAATAGCGACTTTTTACTCTAAAACAAAATGTTGACATAAAAATATTTTTAAAAAGAGATAAAATAATTATTTAATCAAATATTATGAGTTTATTTTATCATATTTAATAAAAAATAAATTGATTTTTTTAGTAGAAAGATGTTAAATTGATTTTTTGTTGTTGTACTCTCGGTTTCGAGACTTCGCTTTACTAATCGGACTAACCTGTGTCGCGCATCTGGTTTTAGTGGGTGAGTCTCCTAACATTATTTTCTCTATATACAAGAACTCAAACTCAAAATCCTACTTAAACGATATCAAACTGGCGTCAAACCTGACCACAAATTTATAATAATTTTCCCAAAGTAAAAAAATAATGTAAATATATAATTCAATACATAAATAAAAAAAGAAAGGTGAAAATAGTCTAATATTCTTCAATGTCTTAATCTTCGAAATCTATTTTTTAAGTTAATAATTGTTCAAAATAATTTTTAATTAGTTGATAATATATATACATCCTATAAACATAATTATTTGAGTTTAAATATAATTCATTTAAGGAAAATATTTTATTTTATCAATCATATCATTCAATAAATTTTATAATTCAATACATAAATAAAAAAGAAAGTGAATAATGACCTAATCTTTTTGGATTGCTCAATCTTCAATAGACATTTTCGTGGAAAAATTTAAGAAACAACAATCTAATTTAATGCTAAATAATGATACAGAATCAAATAACCGAAAATATTATAAAAAACATAATATTTTAAGTTGCATCCAACTAAAAATATTATATTTTTTTATAACAATTTTGATTAAGCTTATTCCATACTATTATTTAAGCTTAAAATAAACTGTTGTAAAACAGAATTATCGATTTTCGTTCCTCATTTTATACTTAAATCCACTTCAGTTTTACTAAATTCTCTTTTTTCTAGATCCAGATGCCCCAGGCGCACAAGTAACCGTAATGCCACATCCAAAAATATTCCCGAAACAAGTAAACGACCGATTCTTGCGGCGATTTCTTCGACCACTCCTCGTGCTTTTCGACGCCGATGTTGTTGGAATCCTGCTGGACATGTAACTCGAAAGCTCACCCCTGTCATACAATGGCGGCAGTTCGGTTCTCCACCTTTCCAGTTTCGACTGAAGCCCTTCGATGCTTTCGTCTAAACTCCACCCCTCCGCCATTGAACTCTCCGTCTCTTCCATTTTGTTATGTTGCAGGTTCCTAGCCACCGCCGCCGCCACTTCCGACGGAGAAGGACCCAGTTCGGAATCCGTCCATATTGTTGACCTACCAAGTTTTTTTGGAGCCCCGTTATCCAACCAGGGGGATCTCGTCCCGGTTGGCGACTTACCGGATGATTTTCCTCTCTTAGTATTTTTATCGAACACGTTATTTACAATTGAACGCCCTCTTGATCTGATCTTGGGGTTGCTTTTTTCAGCGCCGGAAACAATCGAACTGGAATTTCCCTTCTTGGGAATTTTACCAGACGTGTAATTTAACATTGAACTCTCTTTTGTAGTAATCTTAGTGTTGGCTTTTCCAGTTTCCCAGGCGTTAACCATTGATCCACCATTGACAATGGAGGACCCTTTGGGCTTCAACTCTGATTCTAAAATGGAACTCGAATCACTCTTGGTTCGTCGGAGTTCGGGATTGATCAAACCATTAAGTAAATGCTGAAAGTTACTGCTTTTGCAAGTGCTTGAAACAGGGTTAATAATGGAGTTCTGAAACGGATCTTCTTCACCCATTAAATGTCGGTACCCGACAGCCGACGATCCCGTTTGCATATATAATGGCATGCTGCTCATTGTACTATCGAGCAACGCCACCCCAATGTTTAAAATCCCTTGGGGTCGACCTGATGGTCGCCAAACTTGAAGCGCGACGAACCGCATCCCTAGTTCAACTTCTTCTCGATGGTGGCGCCGTTGAGAAATTGTCGGAATAAGGTTTCCGACAATGACTCGAATGGTCCCGACATGTACGTCACGGAACCAATGCACGGCGTACATTTCAATCGTGACATAAGACGTGTCACGGTGAAGAAACTCGTCGTCGACGCGGAAAACAAACTTGTCATTCCAAGTCGGATCGGTATGGCCTTGGGTGTCAATTCGAGTAGAAAGTTTTCGTCTCGAATGGACCCAAGCTACAGCGTAGGTTTTCATTTTACGTCGACAAACAGGCTCCAAATCCTGAGCCGAAATCATATTAATTTCCAACAGCTGGAATGGTGCCGAAATACTCATAATTCCGGCTAAGAAGAATAAGAAAATAACCGTGGTGATTATAAGGTAGTATATGTTCAAAATATTTGTCACGAAATAACATAGGAAAGGAAAATTGAAACAAAATGGAAATGGAGTGCAGTTTTGTGGTATTAGGAGATGAAACCCTTGGCTTTGTAAGTCATTTTGTTTGTTATTTATTTTCTGATATCCCTTCTGTAAAAAAGTATATAAATGGAAGTTATGAGTTTTCACTGCAATAAAACAAATAAACAGAATTTGGTTTAATTAGGATTACAAATTAAGCTATACATGAGTTTCTATGTTTTAACTGCCCACCATGGAAGGCTGAGAGAAAAAAAAAATCAAATTTTGATTTAATTTCAGTTCAGATAATAATTTTCTTTGATAATCGTTTGAATGGAATCAAAATTTATTTTTATTTAATTTTTTAAAATAAAAATTTTAATTTAAACTTTTAATGGGAGAAAAAAAATAAAATATTATACGTATTGAAACCAGAAATCGACGACCGCCCCTCCGAATCCCACCCCGACGAAGATCCGAGCCACACCCTTGATCGCATCTGTGTCGCTAAGTCTTTTATGCCCCTAAATTGAAACCATAGTTCTCATGCATGCAACCCGATTGAAACCCTAAATTGTTACCGAGGGCTAAAATTGAAAACCTAAAAAAGAGGGGTAAAAATAAAACATGTTATTTTGTAGGACTAAAACTTAAATAACAAAAATTAGGGGTAAAAAGATAGAATTTATAAGATTGTGAGGACTAAAATTGTTATTACACCATGCCATATCAACATCACAACATCTAAGTTAAAATTTTAACGGTGGGTGACCAAAACAGAAATAAAAATGTAATGTTAGATATATTTTTGAAAGAAAAAAATTAAGTGATCAAAATAGAACAAAAATATTATTAGGGTTACTAAACATACAGTTTACCCTAAAAGCTATCATATGAATAAAAAGATCATAGTATAACATTTTCATAAAATCGAACATTTAGTAAAGCTACACATTAGAGCAATTTAGCAAAATTTGGCCCACAATAACCTAATATATAAATTGATAAGCGGGCCCTTACTAAGATGCACAATGTCATGTACTCCTTTCAACTCTCCAAGACATTCAATAATTTATTTTTATTAATTTGGATTAAGTACAAGGTACATAATATTTGTTAAAAGATAACTCTAAATCATCTGACATTGAATGCTCGGACCCTTGACATTCATGGTACTCAAATCCGAGACCTCAAAGAATAACAACAATTCATTTATCATCGAAATTGTTTGATTTGTGCAAACATATCTTTTTAAATACAATACACATCCTTCCACCTTAGTCCTTACCATAAGTAATTTTATAGTCTCCTACAAGTGCTAAAAACCATACGATAAGTGAACTATATTTGATACAAAACTAAGTTTATCATAACAACATTATTGTTAAGCACATTATTATAATAGTTTATATTTTAATTTATTAATACACATTGTGTAGCATTTTTTAAGCACGTGATAGAGTCTAGTTCATTATTTTAACATGTATCGATTCTGAATGTCTATTTATAGCATATATCAGTCCATGCAATAGAGAAAATTAAAAAACAAAATGACATAAATCCGAGATGCATATCTCTTGATAGAGTAGTAGGACTGTGTGGTTTGGTTGTTAGGGAGTTACGTGAGTCGTTATGCTATTTGTAAGCCTATATATTCGGAGTCCATGTCCTGAAAGGGCTAAGCATTTTTGTATCAAGTCTGTTTGACTCAATAAAGCATCTTCTTCTTCAACGTTATTCTTTCTTTCCTTTCCTTTACTGTTACAACAATTTCTCTACACTCCTTACTAACACTTAGATTTAGTTCAGAGTATAGAATCAAACATGGTATCATTCGTCAAAGATCCTGAAGCCGTGTTTTCTTCCACTCCGATTCATTTTTTCTGGTCAATTTTTGGTGTATCTCGGCGTTTCTTGTCAATCTAATGAAGATCTCAATGTAGTGGTGTTCTGGTTGTGCTTCAGATGACATCAAGAGTTGATCCAGGTTCTATTGTTGTTACTAATCGTTTAGTTCAAATTTACCTTTATATCTTTCTCAGCATCTGGCTGCTTTCTTGATTGATCAATAGTTTGATGGCGTTCTTGATTGAGAAATCGAAACTGGTTATTTTAGGGTTTTCTTTGCTTCTGCTATTCTTCTGTCCTCTGTGTTTGTTTTTTGAACCTTGTTTTTCAGGTGTATCTTTCTTTGTCTTCTCTATGGGATTAATGCTCCTGAGCATAGTACTTCTGATGTTAGTGCATCTCCTATGAACAATTCGACTAGTCTCTTTTCCACAAAAAAGATTAATGTTGTCTTAGATGTTGAAAGTATTGTTAAAATGGTTTTCAAAGTTGGTTGCCAAACTTGAAAACCATTTTAACAATACTTTCAACAATCTCCCACTTGAAGACTGATTTTAATCTATCTTCACACCTCAATCAATGCAACAGCTTTTCTAGTCTTGTTACTCTAGCATGCCAACTGAAGTTGAACACAACTTCAGTTTGTCTGTAGTCACCGTCTTTGTCAACATGTCTGCCAGATTTTGAGCTCCACTGATCTTTTCAAGTTTCAAAATCCCGTCTTCCAGAAGAGACCGGATAAAATGATATCGCAATTGTATGTGCTTTGTCATGGAATGAAAAGACGGATTCTTTGCTAGATGTATAGCACTTTGACTGTCGCAATACAAGACATTGTTTTCTTGTTTCTTGCCTAACTCTTCCAAGAAACTTTGGAGCCAAACCATCTCCTTGCTGGCTTCCGTAACAACGACATATTCTGCTTCAGTTGTGGAGAGAGCAACTATCTTCTGTAGTTGAGAAACCCAACTCACTCCGGTTCCTCCTAAAGTATAGACATACCCTGTAGTGCTCCTTCTGATGTCAACATTTCTGGCTAAGTCAACATCTACATAGCCTGTCAGTATCGTATCTCCACCTTTGAAACAAAGTGCTTTGTTTGTGGTACCCCGCATATATCTGAGGATCTATTTGACTGCTTCCCAGTGTACCTTGCCCGGATTATTCATGTACCTGCTAACAGCTCCCACTGCTTGAGCAATATTTGGTCTGGTACAAACCATGGCATACATCAGACTTCCAATTGCTGAGGCATACGTCACCTTCACCATGTGTGCACGTTCTTTCTCCGTCTTTGGTGATTGTTCTTTGGAGAGTCTGAAATGAACACCTAATGGTGTACTTACTGGTTTAGCATCTTGCATGTTGAACCTGGAGAGTACTTTGTTGATGTACTCAGCCTGTGATAATATCAAAGTCCTCGACTTTGTGTCTCTCTTGATCCTCATCCCAAGAATCTGCTTTGCAGCGCCCAGATCCTTCATAGCAAAATGCTTCGACAATTTTTGCTTCAAGTTTATAATCTCTCTTGCATGTCTGAGCCTGCAACGAGCATGTCATCAACGTACAACAATAAAATAATGAAGTTATTGTCGAACCTCTTGATGTAGCAACAATGATATGCTTGGCATCTGTTAAAACCATTGCTACTCATGAAGCTGTCAAACTTCTTGTACCACTGCCTAGGAGCTTGTTTTAAACCATACAAGCTCTTCTTTAACCTGCATACCAGGTTTTTCTTGCCTGCATCTATGAAGCCTTCTGGTTGCCTCATATAGATTTATTCCTCCAAATCACCATGAAGAAAAGCTGTCTTTACATCTAACTGGTATCAGAGCTTTTGGTTGTGAATTTTATCAATTTTTTGCGAGGTTATTATTCATTACTATTCACGTGAATAGTAAAAATTTTGTTGGCGATACGAGTTTGTCGACGGAGGTGTTATAATACACGGTGGCTCACACAAATTGTCAGAAACGATCTGAAGAAGCCAAATTCGAGTGGGAGCGATGGCTGCAGACGAAGGGAATGTGAAAATTAAAAAGTTCGATGGTGCGAACTTTGGCTTTTAGAAGATGCAGATTGAAGATTTTCTGTACCAGAAAAATCTATATCAACCTCTCTCAGGAAAGCAACCAGAGGGCATGAAGAATGAAGACTGGGCTCTTCTCGACAGACAAGCCCTCGGGAGTTATCCGACTGACGTTATCCCGCAATGTTGCTTTCAACATAGCAAAGGAAAAGACCACGGCGGGTCTTATGGCGGCTCTCTCCAGTATGTATGAGAAGCCATCGGCCTCAAACAAAGTTCATTTGATGAGGTGATTGTTCAATTTGCGGATGACGCAAGGGGCATCGGTGGCTCAACACCTAAATGAACTCAACACAATCACAACCCAGTTAAAGTTCCGTGGAAATTGAATTCGATGATGAAGTTCGAGCTTTAATTCTCTTATCGTCTCTACCAGACAGTTGGAATGCTACTGTTACAGCAGTCAGCAGCTCGTCGGGAAACAATAAATTAAAATTTGACGATGTTCGGGATCTGGTATTGAGTAAAGAAATTCGACGGAGAGAATTGGGTGAAGCATCAACCTCCTCAGCCTTGTACACGGAGTCCAGAGGGAGAACTTCAGAAAGAAATTCAAATCGTGGCATATCCAAATCCAGAACGGGAAAATCAAGAACGTGAAAGAAAGATTTTACCTGTTATAACTACGGCAAGAAGGGCCACTTTAAAAAGGATTGTCGAGCACCGAAGAAAAATATCGGCGCACAGGAATCTGCCAACGTGACAGAGGATACAGGTGATGCCATGATTCTAAGCATCAACAGTCCGATTGAATCATGGATCTTGGATTTAGGAGCATCTTTCCACTCCACCCATGCCGAGAAATCATGGAGAACTATGTCAGTGGTGATTTTGGGAGGGTTCATCTAGCTGATGATGAAACCTTGAAGATCGTCGGAAAATGAGACATCCGATTAAAGCTGCCAAACCAGACCACCTGGAAGCTGACAGGAGTGAGACATATTCCTGGCCTCAAAAGGAATTTGATTTCTGTAGGACAGCTTGATGGAGAAGG